CTGAACTGATAGTGGATGGATATGTCACCAGCTTGGAGAAAAGAAAAGAAAAAAATACCCCAGTCAAACATGCACATAAATATCAGCCCAGCGCTCCAGGATTTGTCGCTTGTGTTAGTTATTCATACTCCGTACAGATTACTCCTTCGCACTAAGCTCCGACCTAGCCAGCCTCCACGAGTTGGAGTTTAGCGAATCTCTTGGCACGACCGCCCAGGTAAATTTACCGCTAAGGTTCTAACCTTGTCTCAAATTTTGTTTGGTTTTTTCTTGGAACCTGCGGAGTTCCTTCTGTCGTGCTTCTGGAAGGTCGCTCTCCCCTGCGCTGCACATAGCTTAAAATAAAATTCTTGCTCCAACTCCATCCACATCTCAACCCAGCTTTGCCACTTTGTCGTCGTATACAGAATACACCTACGTGAGGTTCGAGATTTTACAACTTCCATCCGGGCTCAGAAACTATTTCATATCCATATACGGAGTACGCCCTCTCACTCATAAAGGGAGCTCCACATGGTTTTCCATTCAATTACGGAGCAGATGCCCCTTGAATCAGGGCCCACATTTGCCATGGAGGCATACACGCTACGTATCATCTAGCAATAAATTATTATTATGGGTAATGATACTCCGTACAATTGTCAATACCCAGTTGAGAAGGGATTATTGGACAACCAGGCGCCGGATCCAAATACCCAGTTCCAGCAAGGAACTCCCCCGCTACAATCCGACTCAATCCAGACTCCTCACAAAATAATAACCCATATTTTCACTGTTAATGCCTGGAGGAGAAAAGCGTATTTCGATTTTTTTTTTTTTTTTTTTTTTTTTTTTTTTTATCACAACAAGCGGGCTCCTGTTCCATCCGCCATGTATGAGGAAATATCCGATACAATCGGAAATCATATTTTCGCGAATACTTTCCATCAATAAGAAAGATATACCATACCAGTTTTCTGGTTCCAGCTTCTCCAAGCTCCCGTTCTCAAATCTTTTCCATTTTCCCGTTTAGCCTGTTTCATCACCTCCAGGGTAGAGAAGGGTCCGTTCCGGCTAGTGGCCTGCAGAAGGAACTGGTGCCCGAGAAGGTGGAAGTCAGTTGATTGTTGACTTAACAATGCAGTTATTAACTGGACATTAACGGCAAAGAAAGAAAGAAAGAAAGAAAGAAAGAAAGAAAGAAAGAAAACGGGAAACGGGAAACGGGACCGCGAACCAACGTTTAACAAATGAAACGTAAAACTCAATCGGTAGTTGTCCTTTTTCTGGTGAATAGTCTGACAGATGGTTATCCCATAAATACAAAATTCCAATCCTCAGAAAGGAATCTTGAGAGCTGACATATTTCTTGTACGCGGTAGTTATATCTGCCCTAACCAAGCGGATACTATACTGTGTATTTCGTGTAGAAAGGGTATATTGCGAATGTTTCCTCCAGAAACCCCCTTTTGGCCGGACGGACCATATTAGAGATTTCGAGATCTTGTCTTTGGTATGTTCAACTAGTTCGCTTGCTATATCCGTATAGAGACCGACTTTCGCGTGTTGAGCAAGGATAGATATGATATGAATTGCCTTAGACGCCCACGATGATCTTCCAGGGCACAATTTATATCGCTGTTGTCCCTTCCCCCACCAAAAAAAACAAACAAAGAAAGAAAGAAGGAAAGAAAAATCAGATATAAAGATACATGTCACAAGCCATGAAATGACCTCCTTTTAAGTATCGGAGTCACGATGAGATTAGAAAAATGGTGGAGTTTGGTATTGGGCGTTGAACCTCCTGAGTATTATGGGGGAGTTTTTTTAAAATGATATATGGAAAATTGGAAATTTCTTCTGTACACAGAGAACAGAAAGACATATATTAACAAATGAGAAGATAATGTGAAAAAATAATAATATTGGAGGGACAACTTATTGTTTAAGGCTATGTGAGAAAAATAGTTCCATTATATACACTTGGCAAAACTGATGATGTTGGTATTAGAAGGCATGGCTGGAAAAGAGAGTGAGGATAAAGCAATAGCTGGGTGCATCAAGTTCCTCTTACCTACTCCCTATTTTAAGGTAGCCTTAACCACGGATGCAAAGATAAAACACAACCGACAAAACATGCACAGCGAATTGAATGTACTATTCTAGGAAAAACAGGAGAGCAAGTTGTGTGCGAGAAGTGCGAGAACAGAATAGAGAGGAATCAGAACGATCAGGAAGGATGAAAGCAGGATAAACATAAGAATAAAAGGTATAAGTATCTATGTAACTCCTTAAAAGGAAGCATAGGTATATACTTCTTAAAACAATAAGATTAACTTAACCCAACGCCTAAGTATC